TTGAATTGCCGAAATTTATCTCAAATAGACAATAGGCAATCAAGCATTTTATAAAAAATCGATATATTCTATCTATACTCATCGAATTAATTCCAAAAGATCAAAATAGTAAATTGTCTATGAAAACTGCTAATTGGCTTTCAGGAAATCACGAGGCATAGGTCCTTTGTTTGTCACTTGTCAGTGGTGATTTGCAGGAATAGCCTCCAAAAAGGATAGTCTTGAAATTTTGGCCCCGTGGTTATGGGCATAAATTAGTTTTGTCTATGAGGCAAGAGTTCGGGATATTATAAAATAGTAAACTTGCTCAATTAGTCACAAGTTCAACCTTATTGATAAAAATTGCATGTGTTCTTTAATTGTTAGCAAGTCAATACAACTGAAAATCCTGTCCAATATGCAACATATTGCTCTATCTCTATCTTCACTGATGTACTTCAAGCAGAGCTCCTTGCCTTCCACCATGGACTCACAATTGCACTCACTCAAAATTTACATCCATTACTCGTCGAAACGGACTCACATGTATTGATCCAACTCATTAATAGAGATACACCCAAACACTCACATTTACTTAATGCACGCAGGTCGATGCTACATGAGCTCTGGATCCAACGGCTTGTCCACACGTATCGGGAGGGTAACGGCGTGGCATATGTTTTTGCGAAATACGGCAAATCAATGTCTCAATCTACTCTTCAGGATGTTCAATTTTTTGACAACCCCCAACCTTTATTTCATCGCATTTACATTTTGATGTAACTGGAACTAGAACTCTACGTTCAGTACCAAACCTTATAACTTGTTTCTTTTAGTATAAATGAAGTTCTCCTTTAAGCAACAAAAAAAAAAAACTCTTCCCTCATAGGCAAAATTAAGGTAAAATGGCCTCGTAGCCACTTAAACTTGTATCAGTTTGTCAATTCCGATACATAAATTTATATACTTTTTTCATTTGAACACTCTAGCTCGATGGAATAGATACTGTTGTGCTGACACATGTTATTTGTGGGTCCATTTTTAAAATTTATTTATCAAAATTTTATTATAATTCTTCTAAACTCAAACACACACACACCCAAAAGCAATTCGTAAAAGAACCTAAAGTTTCCGACCAAACTCCAAAAGTCGTCGGCAGCCCCTATTTCTCCGTAATCTCCGTAATCATGTTCTTGGAGATTGGTCAAGAACAAATTCTTCAATCAAATTTAAAAGAACCCAAATCAAGATTAATTTGAAAGTTTCTAAAGGTTCTAAAACCCACAGACCCAATAAAGAGTACAAAGGTTCTGAAAAATTCTTCATCAAATAGTGACTATTTAGCAGTGAAGGAGGAGACGAATTTAGTGGTGAAATAGAAGATGCTTTTATCAGCTTGTCTTTTGGTCGAAAAATAACTGAAATTCATCGGAAAATCACGTTTCACGGTGCCGCATCACCAGCTAACAGGGAATGAATGTGCTTCACCGGAGAAGGAAGATGGAAAGGCCGTTTAAAAGACCTCTGACAAGTAAAAGTGAGATGACTTTCGCTGGAGACTTCTCCAGGACACCAGACTTGGACTATAAAAGGGGGAAAGGGCGATCTTTTGCCCATTCTTTTTCGTTTTCAATTTTTAATTTTTTACCTTTTGGTTTTATTATTTATTATCGGAATATTATTTTCACGCGCATGCATTTTGTCCATATTACTCATGTCACTATCACATAAGTATAGTCAATGGTCAAAATAATTTATTAGTATCCATTCCATCAAGTTAAGTGTTCAAATGAAAAAGCATAAATTTATGTACCGGGTTGACAAACTGCTACAAGTTTAAATGGCCAAAAGGCCGTTTTTCTCAAAATTAACTTATGCACACATTACAACTGGAACGTATTTCTGATAAGAAACATATGTCATTATTTAAAAAAATTACGGAAAAGGGTTAAATATATCCCTCTACTATTATATATTATTCAAATGTATCCTCTGTTATACTATCCGACCAAATATATCTTTACCGTTAGGGAAAATTTTATATTTGCCCTTATTTTAACAGATATGACACATGGAGCCTTTAAAATAGAAGCCCCAACCCGTTCGATAAAAACCCAACCCCATAAAAATAACCCATAACCCGGCCTGACCTCCCCCTTCCCCCGATTTGAACTTGAAGCTTCAAGTAAGCTTTAATGGAGTTTTAACTTCCTTCTTCAAATTTTCTGCCTCAAAATCGTTTGATACTCACGTTTCAAGCTCCAAACATCAGTTTCCCAGCAGTTTTAAGCATTATTTTGGTCGTCATTTAAAGATCAAAACCCCCAAATTCGAAGCTTTGAATAATGCTCCAATGGAGTCTTTAGCTCTCTTTCTAGTTCCAAGTTATCTCCAAAGTAGCTAATCATGATTTTATAGCTCAAGATGTTAAGTTCAGATGTTTTGAAGATCAAAGATTAGCTCCAAATCAAGCCCGGACAACAAATAACTCCTAATTATTTTTTAAAAAATCAAACTTTAAACCCAACGACCCAGGTAATGGTGTTCTTCAAAAGTTCTACTCCAGATATTTGTGAATTTTCAGCTCCACAAACACACAATCAACTGAATTTTAATTACCAATAAACAATAACATATATTTTAACCTCAAATTTGAATACTTTTTTTTCCAGCCACAACTTCGACTCCAAGCTAACCTAGCACTAGGTGCTTGTAATGTTCACTTCACTTTCCACCCAACAGCCGCCAAATGATTCAAGCACAATCAATAGAACCTAATCAGATTTTAGGAACAAACAAATAAGCTTCGAAATAAATGTTCTGTAACTCTGGGTACATGGGTATTGTCTTTGACTTTAAATTATTGTGTTTCACAGGCACCAGATAAAGCTTATTAGAATTTTCAGAAATGCTTGTCTCATCTCTCGTCTTTACATCGCCTTCAGAGTTGGCCTTCTCGGCGGGAGAAGTGGGATGTAATGTGATTTAGGATGTTTTGATGGGAAGGAGAGGTCGAATCAGGTCATGTGTTAGTATAATATATCGTTGGGTTTTTATCGAACGGGTTGAGGCTTCTATTTTAAAGCCTTCACGTGTCCGATCCATTAAAATAAGGGCAAATATAATACTTTCTCTAACGGTAGAGGAATATTTGGTCGGATAGTATAACGAAGGATATATTTGAACAATAAATAATAATAGAGGGATATATTTGACCCTTTTTCGAAAAAATTATTATGCGGGGTCAAAGATTCAAGACCACACTTTTCTGCAAATTTTTTTTTGCATTTCCCAAAGCTGAAAAAAGGTCAAAAAATTACATAAATATAGCACTTTTTGTGGTGGTCTTTAACTTTTGACTCCTGCTTGTCTCGTGATTAAAACTGAAAGTCAAAAGATAAAAGTGTTGTCCATAGGGCAAGCGAGGGGCAACACTTATTAAATTTGAAGTTCTGTCCATGGGGAAAGTGGGGATAACAATTCAAGACCATCCACTTTGAGGGTTTTTTTGCGGGAAAATTACGCGACACATCAAACAATTACATATATTTACTATTCGTAACTATACTTTCAGCAAATTTACCATTCATAACTATATTTGAATTTTATGGTAAATCCATGAAATAAGATATTAATTGTTTTGAACTGAAACAAGAGAGCAACAAGCTCTCGTAGCTAAGTTTGTTAGAGCACTCGCTTAGTTAGCAAAGGTCTTGAGTTTGACTCTCAACAAGAACATTTTATTTTTCTGTATTTCTGTATTTTGCCTTAGTTGTATTCATTGCACGAACAAATACAGTAGATACATGTTGTATCCTTTGTATACACTCATGTATACAGATATACAGTCGATACATATTGTATGCTTTGTATACATTCTATATACAGTTGATACAAGTTATATCCTTTTGTATACACCCTTGTTATTTTGTATTGGTTATAGTGGATACATATTGTATTCATTACACGAATGAATAAAATTGCACATACGATTGATACACGTTGTATTCGTTGCATGAACGAATACATTTGACACATGTTGTATTCGTTGCACGTTTGAATACAAGTGATACAATTTAGTAACAATTGAATAGTAGCTACGAACGGTAATTAAGCAAATTATAGTTACTAGGCTCTAAACTATAATGGTTTATTAAATGGGATCTTTACACAAATAGCCGGCCATATTACACTATTTACTTTTTCTAGTCATATACATAGATTATACATTGATTATACATAATTATACACATGTAATACATAAGTTATGCATATAAAATTTTAAAAATGGCCAGATTTACAACTGGTCGTTGAAAAATAGCGCAATTTCAAAAGTAATAGAAATTTAGCCACTTTTTATATAAAGATAAATCTGAGCGAAAACACTGTTCAAAACCCGGAAAACACTCCAGTATATTATGCTGGAGTTCCAGCATAAGTATACTTGAACTCCAACATATTATACTGGAGTTCCAGAATAAGTATGTTGGAACTCCAGCATAATATGATGGAGTTCCAGCATAAGTACACTAGAACTCCAACATAATACACTGGAGTTCCAGCAAGTATATTGGTCTAGTATAATATACTGGACTTTGGAGCACCGGTGCTCCAGTCTCCAGTATATTATACTGGAGCTAGCAAAGTAAACCGATCCAGCATAATATGCTGGAGTTCATACACAAGTGCACCGAACTCCAGTATATTATGCTGGACCGGTCTCTATTGCAGTAAAATAATGGCTATTTTTCATTGACTTGGTAAACGCTGGCTATTTTTGATTGACCAGTTCGAAAACTGGCTATACCGTGCTATTTTTACACTATACATTCTGCGGCTATTTATAATTTAAGCGGTTGGATGATCGGCTATTTGGGTTAATTCTTCCTCTTATTTGTGTACTTCCAACCCAATGTCTATAATGGGCTGACTTGGAGTCCAATTAAAGAGGCCCACCTATCTGATATCAAATCCGAAGCCCATTTCCTAACGGAAAGTTCTTTTGGGACTCTTAACATCGCCGTGTTGCGGAATTGGATTCGCCAACCACTCTTGCCGCGTAGTACTTGACTCTTCCTTCCTTGAGCCAAAACCCACACTTTTTCTCCTTCAAAATATCATTCCTTTTCAGATAGAGAAGAAGATAACTAGAAGAATAATTATTCAATCGAAAGAAATCAATTACCGATCGATCAATCAAGATGAGTTTCCTATTCGGCAAGAGAAAAACTCCCGCAGGTACCTTTTTTTTTTTTTTGCAAATAAAAAATATCTGCTTGATTTTAATCCAATTGATTTTTTACTGCTATTTTAATGATTTATTTGCGGTTTAAAACTTCCTATTTCGTGATGTATTTAGCGATCTATTTGAATTGATGCTCGATCACCTGGAATTGAGTAAATTTGTTAAATTCAGTATGATTGATCTTTCATCATTGATTTGTAATTGTAGAATCTTTATCTCATGCGAAATTAGGTTTCTGGTTTTGATGCTTTTGCTTAGTTAAGCTTAAGAAGGCAGATGCAACCGGGGGGGGGGGGGGGGGGTCAAATGAAGCACGTGCAAACCTTGAAAATCATGGTTCAAATCTTAGCGGAGACAAAAAGCAATGGGTAATTTCCCCATTTGCTTAAGCTTTGTTTGATAGAATTAGCCGGTACTTGTGCTGGTGGAAGGTAGCAAGTAACTAGTGGAATAGTCAAGGTGCACGCAAACTGGTCCGAACACCACTATTCTAAATTTTAGAAAAAGTTTAAGGGAAAGCGGATGATGCATAAGTGGACTTAGGATGATGAATAACTTATTTAGGATGTTCAAATTTTAAAGTTTGCTAGGTTGATGGAAAATATTTGGCTTTGGCCACCTTAGGTTCCGTAATTTATTTATTTTTGGGTTTAGCATTCTCAAATGGTGTTTGAGGATGAGAGTATCGTGATCCAATTTTTAGTCCTCCATGATTATGTAAATTCTACTGTCTAGATTGTAGAATGGTTAACATTTCTATTTTGCTGATAAAGCAGGTATTCGGGAGCATCTCTTTGCTGCTCAATTAAAAAATTTAAAGCTTGTTTTTCCCATTATATGAGTGAATATCACGTGACACAACATCCCATGGATATTAAACTGATAAGGACAAATACTACACTTGATCTTAGCAAAAAGGCGAAGAAAGGGAAAAAGTTGAATGTTTTATAATCGATTTTTATTTTCTGCTGTTAAACCTTAACCAGTAAAACCCCAACTTTGTGTTGGTCTTGTTCAAACACAAACGGTAGAATAAGTTGACACCCAAAAGGGAAAAAAGAAAAACTAACTTGATTCAGATAAGTAGAGTGCTTTGTTCTGTGTATGTGCCCACTTCTTTTGGAAAAGTCACCTTTTTGTGTAGGAAATTGATCTCATAAACTAGGTCAATTTTATGTTTGTATGTCTGGTATACTTACTTATTTATCAGAGCAAGGTTGCGAGTCCAGATCCCAAATCATACCTCTACAGATATTTTTTTACGAGTCCTTTAATGTCTGAATGTATCATTATTTTAAATTACATGTTTTGTAGAAGTCTCAATATATCAGAATTGAGTTGTATTTTGGGGTTTATGAATTCGATCAGAGTTTGACTCGTAACATTGTTTGTGCTGGAATAGTTACCAGGGAATTTATCTCTTGGACCTTTTCGTTTTTCCTTGCTTTTAAAAATTGTAATACACTGGGAGATGGGTAATCGATTGTTGTTGGAAAATTTAACATTATTTCTTTTGGATAGCTTAGAGAACTTTTAATTCTTTTTTGAAATTTTTAACTTTTCTATACCTCTCTTGAAGTTTTAAGAAGTCTTTGCATGTTGTAATGGTGCTATTTGTCTATTCACTTATCTTTTTTAGTTTATTATTAAATTTAACATGGCTCTGTTTCTTTTATAGAACACTGATTTTGCTATACGGAAACAGCCTCTCTGCCCCTATCGGGGCAGGGGTAAGGTCTGCGTACACATTACCCTCCCTAGACCCCACTATGTGGGATTTTACTGGGTAGTTGTTGTTGTTGTTGTTGATTTTGCTATAGTTCTTAGAAAATAATACAACTTTTGCTTGGTATTTTTACAGCTTTACTTGCTGATTCTCAGTTTTATGGATTTTAGCTGTTAATTTCCCCCTTTATTGTTTCTTAAGTAAACCGGTGCATGATACTGCCCTTTGATACCTTGTGGAACTTGACGGAATGTGATTGTTGTTAGCTTTTCCTATCTTTGCATAAATCTTTAATGTTTTATTTTCATTTACAGAGCTCCTGCGTGAAAATAAGCGTATGCTTGATAAATCTATCCGAGAAATAGAAAGGGAGCGACAGGGGCTACAAACACAAGAGAAGAAGCTAATTGCAGAGATAAAGAAAAGTGCAAAGCAAGGGCAGATGGTATGTCTTCTCTCTGGATCTTAGCCCCACTGTCTTAGTAAGGAGTACTTCTCCATCTTTTTTAATTTTAAGTGGATTATTCTATGATGGAGGAGCCTATCCTTCAATTTTGTTATTAGTATTGTAGGCTGCTTGAACTAGTAGTAAACATCAGTCATACTATTAATGAAGTGCTGAAGAGGGCCTATTCTCTAGTTAATCAAACATTGCTCAGAGACGAACCGCCAAAAAGAAACCCAGCGCTTAGGTTTCTAATTTAGACGTGGGTCAATTAGTTAAACAGAAAATCTATTGGTATAGTAGAGTTTACAATCATATGCAAATAATTACTGTATAGAGTTGGTGCGAGTGGACCGAGTCCTGGAAAAGGCACTAAGCTATTTTGTCACTTCTGTTTTTTGAGTCGGCATAGTATTATGCTATAGATAGTGCAAGGAGATAGGATTAACAACAATACTTAAGCCCATTTGTGATTTGAAGTTCTTTTGATTCTAGGGTGCTGTAAAGGTGATGGCAAAAGATCTTATCAGGACAAGGCATCAGGTTGAAAAATTTTACAAGCTTAAGTCCCAACTTCAAGGTGTCTCCCTCAGAATACAGGTAGTTATGGACATGATCATCATCATTAACATTTTTGTTAGCTTTTGTTGCTGCTGTAGCTATTGCTATTGTTCTACTTCTTGAAAAGTATTAATCTTTCTTGAGAATACAACCACTGTCATTGTGAGACGTTGTTTACAAAACTTAATATTTGCATAACAGTATCCTTGATTTCTTCCTGCCCTTTCCCTTGAGTAAATTCTGCAACCTTAACAAAAAATTTCCTTCACATGCTCATGGACAATTTTAAATGTGTCTCCATTGGTTCATTTGTATGAAGCTGGATGAAATCTGCTCCTTTGCCTTTGTGGTGAAGGAGCATCGATACAAAATTTGCACATAATAATTCTATATACTGGAAGTTGATAAATTCATTTCTTTCCAAATAAAAAAGGTTGATAAACTAGTCCTTTGCATGCCTGACCACTGGGTTGTCTATCTACACTGAAATCATTAAAGTTTGATTTCCCCCCCCCCCCCCTCCCCCCTCGGCTCAGAGTGAAAAAAAAAAGAAATGAAAGAAAGAAAGAATGAAAAGCTAAAAACATGGAAGTAGACGAATAAAAGAGAATATCCATCTTTGGAAAGGAAGCAAAGGGTTTTCTTTTCGTGTTGCAAAGGAATTGAGATGTCCTGATAATATGATATCTTCTCTTTTCGTTCAGAATATCTAGCTACAGGCAAATTGGTTGACGAAAATCATTATGCTATGTGAATGATTGACTAAGAGATCTTAACAGAGTCGATTTTACTTTAACATATTTGGTTGTCTGAAGAATGAATGGTTTGCTAACTCTTTCTTTTCTTAATACCCAAATATTATCATTGATATTAGACTTTGAAATCAACACAAGCAATGGGTGAAGCAATGAAAGGTGTTACAAAGGCAATGGGACAGATGAACAGGCAGATGAATTTGCCGGCATTGCAGAGAATAATGCAAGAATTTGAGATGCAAAATGAAAAGATGGAAATGGTGAGTGAGGTGATGGGAGATGCCATCGATGATGCTTTGGAAGGGGATGAGGAAGAAGAAGAAACTGAAGAGTTGGTGAACCAGGTCCTTGATGAGATTGGAATTAGTATGAATAATGAGGTACTTTACCACTCTTTCGTTACACACTTATTTGGATCTATCATATGTTTGGAATGCTAGTTTTATGGTCCTTGAATTAATGGCAGCTTGTCAATGCTCCTTCCTCTGCGGTGGCTGCTCCAGCAGCAAAAAGCAAGGTTGCACAAGCTGAGGCAAGTGAACATGACGATGGTGGAATAGACAGTGATCTGCAAGCAAGGTTAGACAATTTGAGGAAAATGTAAATTATTTACAAATTGAATGGAAACTTTATATGGCTTTGTAACATTTGTGAAAATTCTGGAATTCATGTTTGGGCATAGTCTGTCATTGCAACACATAGCACGCCCGATGCTTTCTGTTTATTCTTGAGTCTTTTTGTATTATAATACATAGTTACACGAACATTGAAAAAGTTCGCAACAAAGTTTTTTTGTGGTTTGTAGGAAGAAATATTTCCTCTTTTACCCAGTGTTTGGATGCTAATTGATTGAGGGGTGCTTCTTATCATATCTGTGGTGTGCTCCTACACCCTAATTTAGAGAACATACAAATTCAATGTTACTTAAAAATTCATGTAGGAAAATTCCAATCTTATCCTTATTCAAATGTTACTTAAAAATTTAGATAGTTAAACCCAGTGACGCTAATCGTGAAATACACTTATGATCTCTGACAAGTATCCTCGAAACCTTTAAAATGGGTTGGATCAAGAAGGATATGACTTAGAGAAATGAGATCAGCATAGGCTAACCAAAAATTGAGTTTAAACAAAATAACCATGGATTAGTACACAGAAGGACATAGCCTAGTTGTGAAATGAGATCAGCATAGGTTTACTTAAAAGAGAGTTTAAACAAAATAACCATTGGTTAGTACACAGAAGGACATAGCCTAGTTGTTAATGAAGTGGGTGAAAATAGAGGAGACGAGGAACATTCAAATCACAAAGTTGGCTGATTTCTTTTCATCTACTTAAGCCTTCTACCGATCCTGATGCTTTGTGCACCAGGCTGTCCTTTACTTAAGTCTTGGTAAGCAAAGTTATTCGATAATTATACCGGTGGAAGGTAGTAAATATGGGATGACATAGTTTTTTATATTTTCCACATGATTTCAGATATTGTGATTATCATCCTTTTCTATCACCATCCTCCACCCCAACTAGGATGAACAAAAGTCTTCATGCAAAATCTATCTTCCTATAAATAAATAAATAAACATATCACAACACCAAAAAAGAAATGAAAAGGAAAAACTAAACAGAAGTGCCTTGAACTATCAATCCTTCTCTACTCTCCTCTTGTCCTGTGAAACTACTCGGGTGAAGCACCGGCGGCTCCACCGGAGAACGACACATGGGGCAATCCAAGTGAGAATAAAGCCACATATCAATACAAGAAGCATGAAAAGAGTGGTTGCATCTTGGAAGTTGCTTTACTTCTTCCCCTTCTTCAAAATCTGATAAACACACAGAACACTCAATATCATCATTATTCTTCTCATGATCATTTCCTCCAACTTCAACTCCTCCTATCTTGTACCTGAAACTGGACACTAAGTTCACGTTAAGGTTATCTAGAGAAACATGGCTAGATATTTGTTCAGTAGACTGATCATTCGTGTGGTTATCTTCGTTGCACCATCGAACGATAAGGAGATTGTAGAGGCCAAGTAAGACAGCTGCTATTCCGACAATGATAAGAGCACAATACAAAGTGGGTAAGTTTGATTGTTTTGGAGAAGAAGGTGATGAAGGAGTATTAGGCATAGGAGCTTCTGCCATAGCTTGAACCAGTTTGTTTGAGAAGCAAATACTAGGGGATTGATTGAATTCATTAAATAGTGTTATATTTAAACTATAGTATATGATAGGAGTAGTATTATTTATTATTATTACTCCCTCCATTCCATTTCAAATGACGATTAAAAAGTACATTGATTTTATTGTAAAGGGTGGCCGAGTTGGTTGAGCAGGGGACTTTCCAAATGAGAGGTCTAGGGTTCGAAACCCACTTACATCCGAGCTCGATGTACGGGGCTTACCTAGTTCGGTTTACCCTCCTGTGTGGTTTGTAATCTATTACACAGGCGCGGGATTTAGCGCACCTGAATAGTAGCGGCTACAGGTTCCCTTGTTAACCAAGAAAAAAAATCAAATACTTTTATGATGAGTCAAAATAAAAAATGTGTTGTATGTATACATTGGTATTGGAACTGAGAGAGCATTATCTATTAGTAGTGGAATGAATTATATCAACAACGAGTGTGATTGGACGGTTGAGATCCCTCCAGCCTTAATCAAAAGAGTCTCGAGGTTGATTCTGAATGGAGGAACTCCCGATAGGAATTAGGAAGTGCTTCTATCTTTTAGTGGACCTTACGTGGTGTGAATTAGAACTAGTCGGGCTAGTGAACCAAATGATTAAAGCCAAAGAAGGAAGGAATTCTATTCTATCGATTTTGGTGTTTTATATAGTAAAATTAAACAAGTAGTAAATTATTATGAAGCCGTGGAACCAAAGGAGTATAGTTAAGAAGGAATATCTCTGTGGGCTGGTTGATGAATAAACATGGTGAAAGATGAGATTTAATTTAATGAAAAAGACAAGGAAAATGGACAATCAAAAATTTGGGAAAATGCTAGTGTATATCTAACAGACTAACCTTACCTTTCTTACATTATAGCAGTCAAAGAAAATTGCTGTCACTTTTAATCAGACTCGATTTCGTTGCTCCTATTTTGACATTATATAGCAGGAATTTTGATGGATAATTTGATTATAACTTTCGATATGATCATGTTTAGCTTTGACTTTAAGAAGCTTATCGTCTGATTAGGTAAAATACATCGTGTATGTGGCTTTGGTAATAATACAAAAAGGGTTTCTTTCTTTCCTATTTCACTATCTAGAAAAATTCTCTATCGTGGGACGTAAACATTATTCGTAAGTTAAGGTAGAAGGTACGATTTTACTAACAGTATTTTAAGGAAGTACGATAAAGAATATTTTAATCACTTTTCAACTCGCATTAGTCTACTAAAATATCGAATAATTGGATCTTATAGCGCTCTTGAATTGGACAGCCAGCCATAACCTCCGGCTTTCACTAGAGGGCGTTCAGGCAATTAGGATTGAATATGAAAATTTAGATTTTGTTTGATTTTCGAATTGAAAAAATGACAATCCAATCTTATCCAAATAAGCTTGGATTGGATCGAATTTCTTTCACTATGCAATAGTTATTGCCAACCATCACCGCCAACCACTTTTACTATCAGCCCTCATCATCAAACAACCCATCATCTTTAATTTAGCTATACTACCACTAACTGCTACTATCCATTAACGGGGGCGGATTTAGGGGGCTGGAAGAGGGTTCATCCGAAACCCTTTCGTCAGAAAATACACTATATATATAAGGAAAAATTTGGTTTGTATCTCGATATTTTATATTATGAATCTATTTGACACATCCCAAAAGTATAGCTCAATGGTCAATGGGGGTTCAAAATCTTTGTTAGGTTACTAGTTCAATTTCCACTAGTCATAATCTCTTTTAATTTTTTACCTTTTTCTTTTTTGTGCCCCTTTAGTGAAAATTATGTCTCAGTCTCTATCCATTATATAACTTTCAACATCTGCCAGCACCGCTAGCCATCTCCACCAACCACCACCTCATTAAACGTTAACTAAAAAAAATTCTCTAAAATTTTGTGGTTATAATGTTTAATTATTTTATTTAAAATTTATATATATACTAATTTCAAATGAAGATAAATTATGCACATTCAGATAATAAAAGAGAAGAAAAAAATTTAACTGTACAACTAATTTAATTGTTCAACTTTTAAAACTTGAGACAAATTTTAATAATAAGATTATGTTCGCAAATTCTATTATTTAAAAGGGTTTCTTATTTCCTTAACTTAAAAATTTGATGCAATATGGTTTTTTTTTCCTCAACTTACACGAACATAAAAATATGACAAGCTTCCAATAAGATAACCTTATCCACCATAGCCAATGAAAATCAGCCACGTAAGCACAAAGGAAAAGATACCAAACCCCTATAGCTCAATTTTCCACCTCTCAATAAAAATCCTCTTAATCTAAATTCCTCTTTCTCCTCTCAAAATCACATCATTTTACCAATACCACACTCTTAAATTTTAGAAGGAAGAAAAAAGAAAAAACTTGAGAGCAAAAAATAATGGCTTCAACTTCAGTAGTTTCAATGGCAATGCCACTAACTTACACAAACCAAAAGAAGCAACCAATTGTTGAAGCTTTTTTTAAGCCATTGCCAATTAGGCCATCAAAAAATATTGCAACAAATTCAAAACCAATTGTTGCTAAGTTTGTAGTGAAAGCTTCACTTAAGGAAAAGGTAGTGACAGGGTTGACTGCAGGTGTACTTACAGCATCAATGGTTGTACCTGATGTAGCACAAGCTGCTGATGGAGTTTCACCATCACTTAAGAATTTCTTGCTTAGCATTGTGGCAGGTGGGGCTGTGCTTACTGCAATTATTGGTGCTATTATTGGTGTTTCCAACTTTGATCCTGTTAAGAGGAGTTAAAGTTGGTTAAATTTGTGTCCTCTTAATTGTATCTATATGATGTTTAATTAATTCCACTATGATTTGTGTATGTTTAAATGATAATTGATTATAGTTTTTTTTTTCCGGCTTATTCATCTTGTATTCGAAATTTACTATCTGACTGCAATAGGTTCACTAAAGGGGAGCGCTCCCTATCCGAGATTTTCTTATTCATAAGACTCGAACGTAAAACCTATAGTTAAGGGTTGGTTCCTACTATATTCTTTGCTAGTAATTTATTAGCTATAATTTTGCTAGAGATACCAAGTCACTTAAAAATTGCAACTACATGCATTTGCATTTATACTTATCTAAAAAATGTAGCTTGTTACAACTTACAACTAAGTCAAATTAAATGTTAACAACGTCCTGCAATGTGGATACATAAGAAGATTCAGGTAAACATGCACAAATTTTGGATGCAAAAGCAACAATATTTTTATTGTTTTTGTGATTTATATTCAACCTCTCATTGTTAAAAAGCCAGAAGATTTCAACTTCTCTGCACCGAAGCTACTCATCAAAAAGATCAAATTATAGGGGCGTTATTTTATAGTGCAACTATAAACACCGTCAATGTTATATGGTAGTGAATGTTGATCGTTAAAGTCTAATTCACAAAATAGCTGATTCAGATATGTGAATGATAAAATGTACGGTTATACATTGATTAGATAAGATAAAAGATTGACCACATTCCCCAAAATGTGCAAGTTGCGCATATTGAGAATAAAATAAAAGAATGAGATTTCGGCATGTCTTGTGTCACCCTACAGATGCACCGGTCCATAGATATAAAATTATGGTGAATGAAGATGTTAAAAAAAGACAACGAAGACCTAAAATCAAACAGAAGTTGTTACGAAGCAGGCTTAGCTAGATCCCACCACGTCCTTCAATGATAATTCAAACTTGTGTTATTAACTTCAAAACCGCTTGTGTTCGATTCCAAAATAGTGAGCGGGAAATTAAGTAAACAAATAGAACTTTACAAAGAAAATGTGGTTTTAATTTAAATTGCTAAATCTCATTCCTTTTTACAAACATCAATATGACTAGTTCTCGAAGATTTCATAAAGTTTGGTCACATAAAGGATAACTACACGTAATAAACTCCAAATAACAAGACAATAACTAGAATCTGAGAGAGCATACACCCACCAAGAGGTTAAATATTCTTCAATTGTGTTAAGCTGAGGATTTGTTCCATGATGTCCAATAAAATTTAAACAATATTTAAACAGAACATAATTCCCAATTAATGAACTAAACAACGCACACCCCCAAAAAAAAGTCAAAATAAGGGTAGATTCAACCACTAATAGAATAGAATAAAAATCTTATTAGGTGCATTAGAAAGATAGTCATATAAAGTAACGGATTTCCAGACATGTTTAACAGTACCCAAAGATGAACCAAAAAAAAAAAAAGAAGAAAAACTAAAACTTGACTTATAAATGTAACATTCGGAGATTATTCAACGAGAGGCAAGTGAGATTCGCTGTCTACGTAACTGGGACTGGGATAGGAATATCAGTTGGCAACATTGTTGGCACTACGTCTGGCACCACAACCGACGTTTTGGCGTAATCTTCTTCCTCCTTGGGAGGATGTATTGTGACAAGATCTGGAAGAGGAGTTGTTGGACCTTGCTTTCCTTTTGGATCCCAATCAAGCATGATCTTAACTTTGATGCCAAGTACTCCCTGTACAACCCAAAAGAATGGAACACATCACAAGATAACAACGACGATAAGAAAAATAAAAGAAATCAAGAAAAGAAAACAAGCCCCCAAAGCTTCGGTCTAGTGGTAAGTGCGCAGTGCGTGAGTGCGGGTTAAGTGCGTGTCTATTTAACTAGAGGGGCAGTTTCGAACCAAGAGCCATCGGAATTTCTTGGTCGCGAGAAAAAAGAATAAAGAAAACAAGGAGAGCAAATTAGCAAGACTGAGGAAGTCACTTGCATGGAACCAACCTGTCTCATGAGAATATGTCTTACAGCTGAGTCAATATACTCCTTGACAGGCTGACCGGAAGAAATCATATAACCATCTTTGAACTTCATAGATTTAGCACGCTGAGCCCTCAGCTTTCCACTAACGATCACCTGTTTAATAAATCAATGAGGTGTTACTACTCTGCATCTGAGGTGTAGTGAGAAGATATATAGAACATTGCAGTAGCATACCTCGCATCCCTTGGCTCCACTCTCCATTATAAATCTCAAAACACCATAGCATGCCCTGATAATATAAATTCAAAGAACAATTTAAATAATGAAATGCAAAATGCATTAAACCACAGAACATTGATCACAAAGAAATTTAAGAACACAAATTTAAGTATGAAAGGAGTACTTTTAGAACTGGAAAGCACAAAAAGTGACAAGGTTCATGGGGCTTGAGGCGAAGAGA